TTTCTGGTGCTTTCACTTCCAGAGACAGTTGTAAGCACTGTGTAACTGCCTCGAGGGTGCTTGACCATTTTAACACAACGTGGTGCGATCATCCCCCTTGCGCGGAGCGAGTGTTCTCCATCCCGCACAACATGATCTACTCGACCACCATTATGGTTACCGCCAAAAAAAAAAAAACAGAGGTAAAAAAAAAAACGGTAACCTGGTTGCCGAGTTCACGAAGTGAAGCGGCTTGTTTTACAACGTCGTTGCCAAGCGACGAAAACCCAACCCCGATGGCAAACACTGGGGGGGGCGGGCGACGGAGGGGAAGGAATAAAGCAGTGCGCTCCGTGCGTGTCGGTGAAGTGCAACGCGGTGCGGCAGCGATGGAGATGACGAACGCCACCACCAAGCCAAGGCTGAACACATACCCTTCGCTTTTGTGCCGTTTCGAGCACACCACCCCTCGCCCTACGCACGACGGCACACAACCGCAACTACTTCAACACACGGCCGTTGAACATCAAGTCCGGCATTAAGCTTGACACGGGTGTGCGCTTCAAGCGTGGTTTTTCGTCCCGTGTAACCCTCGCGCCAGTTCACACGCCCTCGGTGTATGCTTGACGAATCAGCCGGGGCCACACATTTGTTTTTGGTTTTACCCCCACTTTTCCTCCTGCGGTATGTGCCGCGGTGTTTTATCGCGAAAAGTTGAAAGGATGAAAAACCGAAATGGCCGAAAGCAGCAGGCACACCCCGAGAACCTACGCGCTCACCGTTAATGCAGCACACTTGCACAAAGCCCTCGGACTCATAGAACCGGTGTGCGGCAGGGTTGGTGGTAATGACGTGGAGATAGACGGCTCCGATGGATTTTTCCTGCCTAGACAGCCACACGCACCGGCGCAGCAGCGCGCGTCCTATCCCCTGTGGCGCGCGCGTCAACGTTTGGGGCAGGGGGAAGTAGCTTGACTCGACGCGTTGCCGTCCACGGAAAGGTGGCGGTTGGCGGTTGGTCGGGTGGGATGGGATACGCTGTTCGCGAACAGCACGCACATGAACATCGCACGCGCGAGGTGCCTCCTTGGAGTGGGAGGAGATTAACGCCGGTCTAACGTGCTCTCCAGGGAAGAGCGGGTACTCGCACCTCCGTGCCAGGTGTTTACACGCAGGCAGGATGGCAGAGACGCTGTAGGGACGACATCTGAGTTTGCATGGTGATCATGAATACGAGGTGCATGTCCGTGCTCCTCACGTGTACGGCATAGGCACGCTTGTTTAGGGTGACCTGCGACCCTTCGCACACATGGAGTCCTCCTCCTGCCGCAAAGCACCGGGCCTCGCCGAGAGGCAAGCCTACGAAAACTCGCTGGCAGAGGCGAGAGCGAGCAGAAGTCACCGCGACGGCAGCAACTCAACTCGTGCTCCACCCACCTGTCTTCGGTAGCTGGTCTCTGTGCCAAGCGTCAGGATGTAGACGACCTCGCTGTGCGCAGCACCACCTCGCCCCCCATACGACGTGTTGAGCCCCAATCGATCCTGATCTCTACATCGACTGAGAGGCATAACCTGGAGAAAGTCAACCAAGGGACACGGTGGTCAAGCAAAGCCGTCACAACGGAGAAGAGAACATAAAGGACGGAGGGAGGGGGGGGTTAGGTGTGCCCTATAGAACAGAGGTGACGACGATTCGGGAGACCTGCCCGCTCTCGTCCGTTTCAGTTAGAACGGGAAGCCCAGCATACAACAAGGTCACACCTTAGACTGCTATAGTCGTGAACGATGATTCATGCACTACACAGGTTCGAGCTCACGGCGCAGTCATGCGCCCAGAAAAGGAGGGGCGCTGCGGTCAACGGCAACCAGCGCTGCTGCCAACAGATGAACAACCACCCGCCGGTGCGCCAAACAGATTGAATCGCACCAAGTGTCCCAGACCCGATTTCTCCCTCTCCTGTATGAAACCAACCTGGCAAGTAATAAGGCCGACGATGTTCCCCCGCCTCTCTCGCCACACGCCCGCTCCTCCCTCATCGAGAATGCCGTCGCTTTCGCCCCTGGCGTCAGCCAGCGGGCATATCGATCCCGGGGTTGCTCTCCCTTCGCGCTCCGTCACACTGCACCCCTGCCCAGGGGCAGAACCCTGTTCTGCTGCGCCTCCGCACCCGCTGACGTCACCCCCGTGGGGGGGATATCGTCGGGAGTGTTCGCCGGTCTCTGATTTGCCCGAGCTGTCTCCGTCCATTGGGCCCTCTTCGGTGTGGCTATCGCCCCCGGACCACCCGCAGCAGCCGTCGCAGGGGGAAGGCACCACAGCCACCTGGGTGTAGAGAGGCTCCTCCACGTCTCCTTTCCCTCGCGTGATGAAGCCTCGGACGACGTTCTCGTAGAATGCCTGGTCGTGAGGGTGGGGGCGGGGGGGTAAACTCATAGTCATGCATAACGTTGTCGTTAGACCATTGACCTCGCATCCCTACAAGGCCGGGACGGAGCACGCCGGATTCTCACCGGACCCGCTTCTCACAATACCAAGTGCGAAGCACCGTGAGGCATTCGGCCAGTCGCATGAAGTGCGCTGTGCTTGCCTCCTTGCGTACGGATGACAGCTGCGTATGACTTGATTTATTTTCTGGTGTTTCCACTTCCAGAGACAGTTGTTGCAAGCACTGTGTAACTGCCTCAAGAGCGCTTGTCCAATTTGAANCTCGCATCCCTACAAGGCCGGGACGGAGCACGCCGGATTCTCACCGGACCCGCTTCTCACAATACCAAGTGCGAAGCACCGTGAGGCATTCGGCCAGTCGCATGAAGTGCGCTGTGCTTGCCTCCTTGCGTACGGATGACAGCTGCGTATGACTTGATTTATTTTCTGGTGTTTCCACTTCCAGAGACAGTTGTTGCAAGCACTGTGTAACTGCCTCAAGAGCGCTTGTCCAATTTGAAACAACGTGGTGCGATCATCCCCTTTGCGCGGAGTGAGGGTTCTCGACCCCGTACAACACAATCTACACCATGATCGTTACCGCAAAAAAATAAGCGGTGACCTGGTTGCCGAGCTCACGACGTGATCGGCTTGTTTTACAACGTCGTTGCCAAGCGACGA